GATAATTTAACTCTTAATAATGTTTTATATGTTCTTGCTCTTAAATGCAACTTGTTATTTGTGTCTCAATTATTAGAAAAACAATGCTATTTTATTATGTTCACTGACAAGCTATGCATTATTCAGGATCGTAGTTTGAGGAACCTGATTGGAGCGGGGGTCCAATGTGATGGGGTCTATATTGTCCGATTCGTGCTCGGAATCTGCAGGCGAACAAAGTGGTTATTTCAGATGCAAGTTTGTTATGGCATAGGCGTCTCGGGATTCCGTTAATGCAAGTTGTGAACTCTCTTCCGGGAGTTTCTAGTAATCGTAGTACTCATAGTAGGGACAATGTTTGTTCTTTTGACTGTTCTATTTGTTTATGGGGAAGCAACCCCGAAACTCTTTTCCGTTAAGTATGAATAAAGCATCTAATTTTTTTATTTAATTCATTGTGATATTTGGGGTCCGAATAAAATTGTTTCAAGTTGTAATGCTCGTTATTTCCTAACCATTGTTGATGATTTTTCTCGTGACACTTGGGTGTCTTTGATGGTTGGTAAATATCAGGCTTCTCAATTTGTTCGCAACTTCTGTGCTATGGCTAAAACACAGTTTGGTCGGAAGGTGAAGGTCGTTCGTAGTGATAATGGCCTAGAGTTTCTTAGTTTGGGGTCGTATTTTGCTCAAAAAGGTATTCTGCATCAAACATCGTGTGTTGACACGGCTCAACAGAACGGTCGAGTTGAGCGTAAACATCGCACATTTTAAATGTGGCTCGTGCTCTTCGGTTTCAAGCAAAGTTGCCCAAATATATTTGGGGAGAGTGTGTTATGACCGCGGTGCATCTCATTAATCGCACTCCTACTCCGGTTTTGAAAGGTAAAATCGGCTTTTATTTGGACAATCTCCTTCTTATGATAGTCTGCGTATTTTTGGTTTCCTTGCTTATGCTGAAAATCGTCCTCGAATTAAGGACAAGTTTGATTCTCAGAGTCGAAAGTGTATCTTTGTTGGTTATCCTCACGGGAAAAAGGGTTGGCGTCTCTATGATTTGGAGACAAATGAATTTTGTTGTGAGTCAAGATGTGCAATTTTTTGAAGATAAATTCCCGTACTTGGAGTCTCTTCTGGAAGTGCGTCGTTTATTGTGGGAGAAGTATTTTTCGAACCCACCATTGTGGGATGAGGACGTGAATATTGAAGGGGTTGATGGCATGGACAATGAGGCTGATTTTGGGGAACAAATCCTCCCAGTGCAGCGCCAACCAGTGCAGCGCAACCAAGTTGCAGCAAACTGCTCCACACCGCAGCTTGGTTGTGGACCAAACTGCCCAGCAACACGCCACTGTGCAGCCAGGTTGGCAGTCCCTCACTGCCAACCAGACTGCGCAGACCTCCGGCGCTGGCCGACTTGCCACTCCCTCGGCGGCGGTCAGTCAGCCGGTGGTGGCCGACGGTGGTTTATCGCCCTCTCGTGGTGAATTTATTGGTGATGATTGGTCAAATAAAATTGTTGAGCAAGAAATTTTTAACGAAAATATTTTCCTTTCGCTGAAACATTTAAGGGGGAGTTCGACTGAGAAGTTGGGTCGCGGTCAACGTGAAAAACATCCTCTGGCATGGCATCGTAACTATGTTACTCACACCATCATCACTGAAAATATAGACCCCTCTTCATCAAACATTGACTCTCCTCGATCACATTCCTCAGGTAAACCTTTCCCTATAGCTTGTCATGTTGAATATAATCGTTTTTCAATGAGACACAGATGCTTTTTAGCGACGATCACTAAGGGAAAGGAACCGTCTTCATTTAAAGAGGCGGTTAAAGGCGTCGGTTGGCATAAAGCGATGCAGGATGAGATTGACGCTTTAGAGCATAATGGCACATGGACCATTGAGGATCTTCCTCCTGGCAAAAGAGCAATTGGTAGCGGTTGGGTGTATAAAATCAAATACACCGATAAGTCTAAGGTGTAACGTCTCAAGGCTCGATTAGTCGTTCATGGCAACCGACAGGTCGAAAGTGTTGATTATAATGAGACGTTCGCTCCGGTTGCTAAGATGGGTACGGTACATGTTTTACTTGTTGTTGCTGTGTCATTGAATTGGGAGTTACATTAGATGGACGTTCATAATGCATTTCTTCATGGTGATTTGAATGAAGAAGTTTACATGCAGTTTCCTCCAAGGTACGGTACTCCGAAACCGGGCAAAGTTTGCAGGTTACGAAAGTCTTATATGGCTTGAAACAGGCCCCGAGACAGTGGTTTTCAAAGTTATCTAGTGCTCTGCGAGGTTTTGGGTTTAAAAACTCATATGTTGATTACTCTCTGTTTAGCTATGTTCAAGGAAGTGTTTCTTTGCATGTGCTGGTTTATTTCGATGATTTGATTATTGCAGGCACCTCTCATGATGCGATTGTTCGGTTTAAAGCTTAATTATCTGTGCAAATGCTTCTATATGAAGGATTTGGGTTTGCTTAAGTATTTCCTAGGCATTGAGGTTGCTAGGAGTCCGAAAGGCTTCTTTCTTTCTCAGCGAAAGTATGCCCTTGATATTTTTACTGAGGTAGGAATGTTGGGTTGTAAACACATCTACACTTCGATGGAGCAGAATCATCGTCTTGCACATGCTTCCGGTGAACCGTTCGCTCAACTAGAACAGTATTGTCGTTTGGTTGGTCGTTTGTTTATTTGTCGATCACTCGACCTGAGTTGAATTATTCAGTGCATGTTTTGGCACAACTTTTGAGTGTTCCACAGGTTTCTCATTAGGATATGACCATTTGTGTCTTGCGATACCTTAAGGGTAGTCCGGGACAAGGTATTTTGTTGGGACCTACGACGGATTTACGCTTGACTGCGTTTTGTGATAGTGATTGGGCGGCGTGCCCGTTGAGTCGGCGTTCCTTGTCAGGTTATTTTATTTTCTTAGGTCGTTCACCTGTTTCTTGGAAGACTAAGAAACAGCCTACTGTAGCCACATCCTCGTCTGAAGCCGGAAACAGGTCTATGGCTCTTACTTCTCGTGAGTTGAAATGGTTGAAAATGTTGTTGTTTGTTCTTGGTGTTAAGCATTCTAATCCTATGCAGTTGTTTTATGATAATCAGTCGGCTTTGCATATTGCCAAGAATCTGGTATTTCATGAATGTACGAAGCATATTAAGGTAGACTGTCATTTTGTTCGTGATGAGTTGATAAACGGTAATATTTCTACCTCCTATGTTTCTACAGGTCATCAGTTGGCAAATATTTTAACCAAGGCTCTTGGACGACAGCAATTTGGTTTTCTTATACGCAAGTTGGGCATTCGCGATTTGCATGCTCCAACTTGAGGGGGAGTATTAGAGTCGGTTTGGTTTATTTATGTTAATATTGTATTTATGTTACGTTTATCTTATTAGGAGTTTTAGGCTTATTAGGTTTCCTAATGTATTGTGTATATATGTGTGTTTATTATCAATACAAAGGTTAAGCCGTTTTCTCCAGAATTCCTTGAATTTAACAATAAGACCAGCAAAAGGTTGGATTATTAGAATCAAATTTTCCTATTAATTATTTATTGTTGATTGAATGTTTTTATACGGAGTATTTTATTGCTAATTTTTTGTAAAAATAAAATAAAATTGTCGTCTTGTACTACTGGTCTGCTGCTGCAGAATCAGATGTTGAGATTAAACCAATGTACCTCTCATCTTTAGTGATTCCTTAATTAATTTTTTCTGCTTCTGTAGAGACGTAGAGTGTCCTCATCTCTGATTGGTTGCTACTGATTGATAAGCATAAGATTGGATAATTATGGATAATGTATAATAACAATATTGTATTTATCTTCTCCTTGTTTATAACCTAGAGTTTAGCATAATTCTTATCTTTTGGCTAGTTTGTTATTCTCTCGTGTTGTATAAATATTTGATGTACATACCTTGCCAAACCTATGAAAAACAATTATTATCTTTCATGGTATCAAAGCAGGAAGATCCAAACACCTCCAAAAAAAATTTTTTCCTCACCGTGCTCCACTTTTTCTCCATGGCTTCCACTCCATCTACAATCCCCAACGATGCTCTTCCCTCTTCTCCCCTTATTATAGTCAACCTCACTAATGTGGTCAAGCTTACCAACCTTAACTATTTATCCTGGAGCCTACAACTCGAAGCTATCCTAGTTGGCCATGGCTTATTCCATTTTGTTGATGGCTCCATTACTCCTCCTTCGCCCACCGTCACATTGGATGATAAAACTACACCTAACCCTGCCTACACCACCTGGTTCCGACAAGATAAACTACTTTTTGGAGCTTTTATAGGCACCTTAGAAACCACCGTCTCCCCACTAGTATCACGCGCAACCACCACCAAGGAAGCTTGGGACATTCTAGCCCATACCTTTGCTCGTCACACACGTGGCCATGCCAAACTCCTAAAAACCAACCTTCGGTCTATAACCAAAGGAACCCAATCCATTACTGAATATATGAATGTCATCCGCGTTTGTGCCGACCAACTAGCTGTTCTAGGAGACCCCTACAAACCTGACGATCTTATTGAACGTGTTTTAGAGGGCATTCAGGATCCTGCTTACCAATCCGTTATTGATGCTGCAAACAACCGGGATACTCTTATTACCTTTGATGAGCTTCATGAAAAACTCCTTCTAAAGGAAGTTCAAATTCGTAACACACCTTCCCCCACTCCACTGCCCATCACAGCCCACGCCACTAGCACCCACCCCACTGCCCCCTATCCACGCAAGCACAACACTACCACTCCCCCATCACAGTCTACCCGCAAGCACAGCTCCCCTACTCCATCTCCTACTGACAAAGCCACTGGATATAAGGGTAAATGACAGTGGTGTCACACCCTCGGCCATTCTCTTTACCGCTGCACAACTTTTCGCCAACGCTTCCCGGATGCTAGGCCCACTCTACCACCCCAGCAGCCCACGCCTTCCCCCCAAGCCAACCTTACCGTCACAACTAATGTCTCTGCCTCCTCACCTTGGTTGCTGGATACCGGTGCTTCTCACCACGTTACCCATGATCTCTCTACTCTCTCCTTGCATCATCCATATGATGGCTCTGAAGAAGTAATTATAGGTAACGGTTTGGGTGTTTCTATCACCCACACTGGCTCTCTTTCTCTTCCTTTATCTCCCTCTAAATCGCTGCTATTATCTAATATTCTATGTGCTCCTAATATGTCACGCAATCTTATTTCGATTTCCAAACTTTGCTCTGATAATAACCTTCTCATTGAATTTTCTTCTGATTATTTTACCTTGAAGGATCGCCTCACGGGGGCACCACTCCTGAAAGGGCCGGCTAAGCAGGGACTCTATGAGCTACCTCCATCTTTGGCCATTCTTGCACTCTCTTCCATCAAAGCTCCCGCAATAAATTGGCATCACAGATTGGGCCATCCCTCTATTTCAATTTTCAAACACATTGTGTCTGATTTCAATCTTTCAGTATCAAGCTCGTTTAATTTTAATTGTAACGCTTGCCAGTGTAATAAAAGTCACAAACTCCCGTTTGCTCAATCTACTTTAGTCTCTAATGCACCTCTTGATATTGTTTACACAGATTTATGGTCTTCTTCCTTACATTCACTTGATGGTTTTAAGTACTATGTCATTTTTGTTGATCATTACACCAAATATGTTTGGTTTTATCCTCTCAAATTCAAATCTGATACTAAACAAATTTAGACCTCAAATAGGTGATTGTTGTGTACTTGTGTTGGGTTAATTCCATCCATCACGTATATGTACGGAGTACATCCATCACGTATAACTAAATTTAAGAGTTACTTTCATATTAAAAATAACTAAAGTGGCCATGGAAGAAATACATTCAGACTTGCTTTGAACCACACTTTGGTAGATTTAGAGCTCGTGTTGAAGAAACCTGGAATGCTCTTAATGCTGATCTATTCCATTCAAGGAAATAATCTAGGGAGAAAACCGAAGCATGAGATTTTTGTTCGTTGGATAGCACCCCCCCTCCAACTGGTTTGCACTCAACACTGACGGTGTAGCTAAGGGAGCACCAGGTCTAGTTGGTGGAGGAGGGGGGTACTAAGAGACTAACCTGGTAAGTTTATGCAAGGCTTTGCAGCAAAATTTGGGATGTGCAATTCCTACGGGGTTGAGCTTTTAGTACTAGAAATAGGGCTACAAATGGCTGTCAAAGGCATTGTGAAGCTAGTAATTCAAATAAACAACGAACCAAGCATGCATTGAAGCGCTATTTTTGTAATGTCGTAGTTAATCATTGCTTTAGGGAGGGAAATAAAGTAGCCGACCGCTTGGCTAACTTAGGAGTCGTCTTTGAAGAGAAGGTAACTCATTTCAATGATCCTCCAATCGAAATAAGGAACCTAATCTAGGAGGACATAGTTGGGGTTACTTCACCCTGGTTTGTTAGTTAATTTCTGTTTTCTTTTGCTTTGTTTCTCGGGTTTTCCCACTTTTTCATTTAAAAAAAAAAAAAAAAAAGAAAGGTTTGTGTAAAGAAGAGGATGCGAATGCTAAAAAAAAAAAACTCGCCTAAAGTATCACCAATTGCTTACATGTATTGAGAAGACTGAGAAGTAAACTATGTTGTCATGTGAAACAAAGAAAGGTAAAACAAACACACCACCATAGACACCAGCACAAAGGCTATTGCTTATCAGTCACTTTGTTAGCTGGTGAACTACTCATTAGGTACCTCTCAACTCGTCAAAAAAAAAAAAAAGGTACCTCTCAACGAGAATATTCAAGGCCTGGTATAATAAGCACCATTTTTGTCAATGCATAATCTGATTAGACAGTCCATTCAAATTGATTTCCAACAATCTATTCCTTCTAAACATGGAAACCATTAAAACACCCTTTGTCCCACTAGAATTGCCCCAATTGGCCCGAATAATGGTCAAACCCCTGGTGAAGTCAGCATACTCCGGGATGGGTCGATTGTTGTGAAAGTACGAGGGGTCAAGGTTTATGGACCAAAGTAAAACAGACGGCGGCATATAGTCTGAGTATGATCAAGTGTGGAAGTAATGATCTTTTTGATATGGTACAAGTAATACAAGCAGACACGTTAAGCATGAATCTGCTCGATACTTTGGTTAAAATATTAACCCCTCTCAAACCTGCATGAATTTGTATTGTTAGTTTGAACTGGATTCAACTGCCGTATATTACTGTTTATTCTGTATCATACTTGAACTAGACATTGTGTATCATAAACCGTAAAAATCTCAAAATAACATACAGACGGAAATAGACATTGTTGGAAATTCCACATAATCTTGTTTATGGTTAATTGTAAGGTTGTTGCTAACTAAGATCCAGCCAATAGTACAATTCAAAAAAAAAAAAAAAAAAAAAAAAAAAAAAAGCCTAAATAGAAAATTCATAGGTAATATGTTACAAACAAACTACCTGAACTGAGGCCATGTAACTAATATATCAATAGAGTAGTTCTTTCCCTGTATCTCCGCCGAAGATTGTTCATCACTATTAAACTCTGCACTACCTTGTAAATAATCAACATCAACACTTGATTCAGAAGTTAAGCTGCCATCAACTATTAAATCTGCTTTTATAATTAGAGAGGACTTTTTTGGCAAAGAAACAAGAGATTTTGACAACGGCAAGGAACCATTGTTTTTAAGGTCATTTATAGGATCATCTAAACCTCTCTCAAAAAGAACACTTTGATAGTATTTCACATCATACGAGGTTGAATACTCATAGTTGCTATACCGAGCAACAATGCTCCCATAAAACTTTACGGGCAACAAGCTCAAAGCACTATCATTGTTTTTTACCAAGACATTCACTTTAGCGTGTGCTCCATCTTCAATTATTATGTAATGCAGTGCTACATATCCATGATCCCCTCGAATAACAGAACATATCCGTTTGTTATACCATTTGTCAAAAAAGCGAAAAGTCCACGAAACAAATCCTTCAACAAAAACATTACCCTTAGCATCCTTGAGGTCAAGATAAATGCCAAAATCGTTCATAGCCGATAAGCCAACACGACCACAGTATTTGTAACAACGTTTCAAATCACTTCCTTTGTAACGCAACTCATATGCATTACCCCATTTCACTCGCACTCTAATACGCCCATTTTCACCCACTACATCCATCTTAAAGTGGCTGCAGTCATTAGATGGAAACTCTAAGACCCCATTAGCTAGTCTGCTTCCATCCTTATACTTAAAATCCACATATATTTCAAGGGGTGAATTTGAATTAACTGGCATAGCAACCATGGACCTTGATAGCTCAATAGATGATCTAGACTTGACCCGTACACATTCATCACGTGACAATTTTAAAAGTATACTTGAAATAGTCGTATTGTCTCCATAGGAGACACTCCCAGGAAACTTGGTGTGTGCAGCAACAGTTCCATAAACATCAGCACCATCGTCCTTTCCATATGCAGAAGTATCATAATCGGTGTAATCAACATCAACATCAACATCATAGTCTAATACATCATAATCATCGTCTTTGCTGAAGAAAAACACATCCACAGAACCTGTCACTGCATAAGGAAAAGTGGCATAATGCAGAGTCACAAATCCGGCCTCACCCAAAACAATTTCAGCTCCATGTTCTGTGTAAAAGGTTTCTTTGTAGTTGAAGCTCAACTTTCCCTTAGCAATGACAACATCACTTCGAGCCCTATCCCTTGATCCACCTCAATAACGACATAATCATAGGGTATAATGACACGACCATCCTTCCTAAACATTAAAGGGTTGGGCAGTACAATTGCAACCAAATTTAATCGAAAATTCACATAATTTTAGAGATATTTGATTCAATAATCAAATTAGGCTCTTAATTTTCTTTTCTTTTGGTTACAATGGTATCATAATCATAGAATTTCGAACCGATCGTTCAGATTTTCGAACCCTACTCTTAATGCACTGACAATTAAATTGAATTAGATCAAAGATAAACCCTAGATTGTGAAATTGATATGATGATAACAAAAACAAACAACTTACCTCAGAAACTGCTTCAATGGAGGATACAAGTATTAGATTTAACGGAGAACGTCAACTACGCTTCAACGGACAAGTGAACTGAGAGACAGGTATGTTTGGAGACTTGGAGGCCTTGTAGCCCTCTTACCTTTTAACTTAATACCTCCGTTACAGATTATGTGGTATCAATCAATTAACCTATACTAAAAGCAAACCTAAAGTGAGACTTGTTACGATGTTATAAAAAAAATTTCCACCTTTTTATCTTTTATTTCCATTTTGACAACACATTTAATCCAATCATACTCAATTAAAATTTTTTTATTATTTTTTAACATACATTTTATATACTATAAATCTTTTAGTTACAAATATACTAACATAGTTTAAAATTAAGGTATTGACATATATCATCATCATTATCATAATATTATTAAAAAAAAAAATTTCCTCCGATTTAAAATTTATTTTAATTAAAAATAGGAATAATAGTTTTGGTATGATACTTTGTATAAATCTTACAAATATACATAACGTTTATAAGAACAACTGAACAAAATCATTTTATTATATTATGCTCCTCCGTTTTTTTATGAGTTATGGTTGAATTTGCACATTTGTTGCGACACAACTTTGACCATCAATATCTTTAATTAGAGACTATTATTTTGTTACAAATATTTTTTTTTGGATAAATTTGTTGAATTAACACCATTCTTTATAAATTTTGTCGTAAAGTTTAATTATGACCGTGCATGGCACGGGATTTAACCTAGTTAAGAATTAAATGTCATGACCTGCCACGGTTATTAGGTTATAAATGGGTATCGATTAGATCCGTCTATAATAAATAAATGAAGCGGGATTTTATACTCCCTCCGTCCCCGAAAGAACGAACCTTTTGGGTTGAATTCACGGGTATTAATTAAGTTAAATAAAAAGTAGTAAAAGTATATTGGAAAGATAAATTTACATGAGTTTTATAAAAAAAACAAAAGTAGAGAGAGATAGTAATAAAAGTATATGGAAAAACAAAATTTTATATGGGGAAGCTAATTTTGCACAAATATTATTGCAAATTGGTGGGTATTTTAATGCTAATGGGTCATTCTTTTTTGAACTAAAATTAGTCTAAATGGGTCGTTCATTCGGGGACGGAGGAAGTACAAATTTTCTAATTATGAGATAGAGCGGGTCTTATAAGAGTTTTAAATAAACTTGCTCTTTAAAAAGTATTTCGTATATAGTTTTCCTTTAAAATTGAGCGATTTTCATGGAAAATATTCAAACCATGCAAAATTCCTTAATTATTATACCATGTTATAAATTTTTCCATAATACTGCCCACATCACCAAAAGATAAAAAATAAAATGAGGTTTAGTTATTGATAATAAATTGTTGTTTTAAGTTAAAGCTATTAAAAAAAGAAGGAAAAATTGCCCGAAATAATTCCACTCTTGGATTGTCCGCTAAAAATAATCTCACCTTTGAGTTATTTTGTAATAATCTGACCTTTGATAACAATCTTCTTTAA